GTTGGCCTTTCCCTCTCATGCTGCATGTGTCTTCTTGGCTCTAACCGCCTTTTCTTTGACTTCTGATTCCCAGTAGACAGCTTGCTGTTTTATCAGTTCATTTGCTAAAGTTTAGTTACAATTGTTGTTTTAGGTTTTACCAGTTTCTCAGGGGTTATTAAGTTTTGAGGAGGCCTGCACCTTAATAGGCCAGTCAGGTAGAGATGGGAGGGCTACCTGTGCCCCTTGAGTGACCAGGGGCAGTTCTCAGAGTCCTCTGCTACAGAAGACAAGCAAAAAGACTCAGTACAGTGACTGATAGTTCACTGTGTGTCCAGAAAGACCCTGTCAGAATGCAAACATGTGGCACCACTATTGACAGAATACCATCAGTATAGAAAGATACCAAGTATTACCCCGTCATAAAAGTTTTAATGTGTGATTCAGTATCCCCTCTATCTCATTGGTGTATCCCAATAGTGCATCACAGACAAAACCAGAAAAATGGTCCTAAAGATACAATACAGATAAATCTTGAAAACGCTCAAGAAGTAAGTGAAAACCCAGTATATGGAAGAGAGGCATTCCTAGGAACACATCCACATGCACGCACACATGCATGACTGCAGCCCAGTGAGATTGTGTGATCAGCATCATGAAAGCCCATAGGATATCCTGAAAAGAGTGAGCCAAGGACAGAGCCATTCCAACATGGCTCCATGTGATTTCTGGCAGTGCCTCATTCTAATACAGCCTGGTCCCTGACTGGGGAAAAAACAAAACAAAACATGACATGATTTCAAGCCATGTAACAGTGGAGCCTTTCTGTGGCTTCCTGCTGCTCTCAAGACAGAGACAAGCAAGACTCCAAGGAACCAGCCCTGTCTCCCTTGCCAACCTTTGCCCATGGTCTCAAGTTTCCAGCCTCTGGCCTTCTGCAAGAGGTTAGACTGAACTGTCTCCCTTCAGTCTGTGTTAGCCCTTCCTGTTGGGTGGAGTCAGGTACATCGCAACTGATGATATTGAGTTGCTGAGACGCTTCAGCTAGCTTCGTGACCCTACACAAGTATAACCTGCCAGCTCCCATTTGGGTCATTTGCCAGTATGTGTTTCCCTAGAGAGTCTCCTGTGGGGCATGGATCTGCCTTTGAGCTTCGTGTCCTTTGCCAGTGGGTGATCCAGCACCCCAGCTCACGAGTGCTAAGCTCGTCCAAAGGCCAATCCTGCTTTGATATAAAACTGCTTTACTTCTGAAGACTCGAGCTGTGACCACCTCAAAGTCCTACCCCATTCCTCGGGGTGGTATTTAAAGTTCGCCACCAATAGGAAGATCACAGTATCAACATATCCTTAAAAAATGCATGAAGACTCCGGAACGCAAGCCAAGAGTGGTAACCGAGCCCAAAAGCCAGGCCCTCTGATATCGATGTCCCATTATTTATTTAGAGTTTTTCCTGGTTGCTGTTTGAGAGTGAAGATGCGTTTACCTGGAGCGATTCACTGACAAGTTTTCGTTACTATGCTGCGACATCAATATTAAACTAAAATGTGTTAGGTCCTGTCTGCCTCTAGTGAGGGTGGACTCCACACTCTGTTTTGGTAATGGGCTTCTTGACTTTACAGTCCTGTTGCAAGACCTGTGTCTGTGTTCTTTTTTGGAATTCAAGGTCTAAATATCCTTTACTTATTACTTCTGTATCAATATCCAGTCCTGTCCAAGCACAGCCATCAGACCTTGTTAGAAATTGATGGAAACTCCTTTTTCCTGGGGGCACTTTGGGCCCTTGAGAGTTGCGATGCACTTACCCTCCTCATCACTCTGTGGAAGCATTTTCCTGTCATCTTATTGCATGTCAGGCTGCATTAGAATGAGGCACTGTCAGAAATCACATGAAGCCATGTTGGAATAGGGCATTCTCTGTCCTTGGCTCGCTCTTTTCAGAATATCCTATCTCTCAACTAAGTACCTATTGCACTAGAGAAGAGGCAGTTGAAATGCATACCCCTGCCTATAAGTGTTCAGCCCCAGCATGAATTCACTTCTTATATACTTACCATACAATTCCCCATGCAGACATACTTTACCCATGGTGTCTTAAGTGAGATAACTTCGAGCCTAAGAAAGACTCTGCTAGACTGCAAGTCCGGTGCCCCCTCCATTTAACTAAAGACAGCTGTGGAGCTCTGGGGGGTCCCAGAGCTGTTTGGAAGCACAGGTGGATTTTAGTACAGAGATGCAAACCACTGTCACTCAGCAGCCACCACACCAGGCTCAGTGGGAGAAACACACGGGTTTTGTCTCTGACCACTCTGTCAGACCCACCTTCTCATGGTCTTGTGTGGAGGTGACACTGTTATATAGGTCCTGTGGGCTGCTGGGCTGAAGAGGACAATGTCTTAAACAGGTTGAGTTCAGTACATCCCAAGTAGAATTGAAAGGGAAGAAGGATCTGCTTGGAAATTTGTGAACTTTCACTGTCTAAACCGAGGGCTGTCAACAGCAGCACTGTTAGTATCTGAGGCAGGGTGGCCGTTTGTGGTGCAAGGGGCTGGGGCGGGGGGGGGGTTGGGGCTTATGCATTATAGCTGAGCCCTAGCCTCTGACCCACAGATACCTGTAGCATACCTCCCCTGAGCCCCTGCTGCCACATCCTGACTTCATCACATGCCCGCAGGGCCAAGGTCCAGATCAGTGAAGAATCACTTATCGGGACTGGATGCTTATGTGGTCTATCACAACTGGCCCAGGTCATGGTTGGAGATGAGGTATGCACACCGACTTCCACCACAGGTTTTCTAACTCCATCCTCTCGGGAAGAAATCAGTGCTGGTTTATTTAATCTGTAGACATTGATGTCACTGATGGGGCCCTGACAAACGAAACAGTGTATCAGATAACAAGACATAATACCAAAGTGCCCTCCTTCCTGTTGCATGAGGCAAATCCCAGGCCTGGCCTCCTGCTGGTGGGGAAGCAGAGTGCAGAGAGGCCTGTGGGGAGAGAGCGAGGAGCAGAGCCCTGAATGAGTGGGTTGTGCTGGGGCGTCATGCGTGTTCTGAAGCTGAGAAGAGGCCGACCCATGATTCTCATCATACCCACTTTTCAGGGCTGGAGAGATGGCCTGGTGGTTAAGAGCACTGGCTGCTCTTGCAGAGGACCTGGGTTCGATTCCCAGCACACACATGGCAGCTAACCACTGTCTGTAACTCCAGTTCCAGGGAAATCTGACCCTCTCTTCTGACCTCCGTGGGCATTACATGACACATGTGCACTTACATACATGCAGGCAATACAGTCATATACACAAAATAAAAATAATTTAAAATTTCAGTACCCCCCCCTTGTCGCTGTCCCCTGTGAGTCAGAGAACGGGCTGTTTCCTGTTGCTTCCCCCCACCTGTGACTCTGTCTCTAACTTCTGTTTCTGTCTCTCTGTGGCTATTCCCACCCCTCTGTGTGCATCCACCTCTCGGGTCCCTGTGTCTTCCTCCTTCTCCCGTGAGTGTCTCCATGTCCTCTCACCTCATACCCAGCTGCACCCATCTCAGCCACAAAGGCACAGTCAGCATCTCAGTCTCAGCTCTGCTCTCCCCAGATCTCCTTCCCATAGGTGCCTCCCCCTCCTCCTGGTGTCTCACTGTTATCAGACACAGGCCTGGACCTCAGGATCGGAGTGCAGTGGGCTTGTTGGGCTGTAAATGTGCACTTCAAAGCAATCCAAGTCAGTGGTGGATTGTGTCTCAAAGGCCCAGCCTCTACCATCAAGTTTGTGTTCCTGCTTGGTTTGGGGAGGAGACACTAACCGGGTTGAGGTGACTTGGAGGAAGCAAGATGTGTAGGCAGTGGGGTGAGCAGACCCAAAGTGGACAGAGGATATGGACGGGAGCCCAGATCTGATGCCTGGGGTGCAGCTGCACCACCGTCTGTCTCTCTCTCTCTCTCTCTCTCTCTCTCCTCTCTCCCCCCTCCCTCTCCCTCTCACCCCCTCCTGTCTCTCCCTCTCTCCTCAATAGATGGATGGATGGATGATGTCCATAGACACTCTGTTGGATGTCTGTGACCTGTCTCCTGAGTGCCACCTTGCACTAGGCTGTCTCCCTCTCCTGCCCGTGTGTTTTGTCCTTATGAGTGCCTTTGATTTCATGGATGAAAATTCCAGCCCAAGGAAAACAAAACAGAAAGGATAGAGAAAGGATGAGGAGGAAGAGGAGGAAAAGGGGAGAAGAAAGGAGAGGGGGGAGGGGGAGGGAGGGGGAGGGAGGGGGCAGTGAGAAGCCAGGAGGACGAGGTGAGGTAATGTCACCTGTAAGTGCTCCTGGCACTATCCAACAGTTGTACTGTACCTGGCTTTTTCTTCAGTGTGAGGACTGGGCTTTGACTCTGGGTGTCTGTGTAGTGCCAGTTCCCACACAGGACGACGCGCAGGCTCCCAGGGCACGCGAACCTGGCAGAGGCAGCAGCACATCCCTCTCCAGTTCCGGGCCCTTGAACTGCTGGTCACTGCTACCTTCAAACGTGTGAGGAGCACGAGAGCATGCTGGCTGACCAGGGTGGGGAATATCGCTTCCTGTGGAGTCAGAGGCTTCAAAGAGGATGCTGCTCTCCTGGGGCATCCGGGAGTGTCAGGAGGCTGGGTCCAGTGAACACTGCTGGCCAAACCCTGGGCTGTCTTTGGGGCCAGGTAGATGAGTGTCTGTTCGTGCAGAGATGGAGGACCAGGCAAGTGACTCTGGCTTGGGCTTAATAGAGAATGAAGGAGGGAAGACATGATACCAGCTTCACCCAAACTTCTCTGAGCATAGCAAGCCACAGCTCTCTGTAGCTCCTCAGGAAAAGTTCTTTCCTTTTCACTTGGCCTGTGGAGGTGACCTCAGAAGTGACCAATAGGACTGTGGCTGAGGATGGGGAGACCCTAAGCCCATCACAGCCAAGAAGAAAAGATACCAGAGTCAGTTTCCTGAGACTGCTGTGACAAGTCACAACAAACTTAGTAGCTTAAAACAGATTTATTCTCTCACAGTTCTGGAGACCAGAAGTTCAAAGTCAAGACACCAGCTGACAAATGTTCCTCTGAGGGCTTTAGGTAAGAGCACATTCCTGGCCACTTCCCAGCTCTGGAGGCTCCATTGACCCTGGGCTTACGGCTGCATCTCCCCGGTCTCTCCTCCATTCCCACATGGCACTCTCCCCTGTGTCTCTGTGCTGCCCATGTCCCTCTGCCTGGTTCTTATAGAGACACATCACTGGATTTAAAGCCCACATTAAATCCAGATGGTCATCTGTGAGATCACCTCATTCCATCTCCAAGTGAGGCCACACTCAGAGTTTCTGGGGAAAGAGTTGTGAACTTGGGGAGATACTAGCCAACCCTCTCCTTCCAGCAGACCTCAACCCCTGAGCCTAGACTGTTGACCTATCTTGAAACTTGCATATGGGCTAGCTAGTGGAGTCCTCACCACAGCCCTCCATGGTAGAGGCTAATTCTTCTCATCTTAGGAATGAGGCAGCCTAGCCCAGAGCTACACCAGCCTGACACAGAACTCCCAGTCTCCCCTGGGAGTTGTCAGGACTGGAGTCAGGATTGTAGGAGACAGACAGGTGGAAGGCAGGCGGGGGGTAAGAAAAGTGGGTGTCCCACTGTCCACCACAGCTCCCCCCCCCACTTTTCTCTTTCTGGAGCTATAATTTCATGGGTTGTCTTGACATGTGTGGGCATCTGAGGAACCTGGGATCTGAACAGACGTCTAGAAAATCCAGTCTCCCAACTGGTATTTAAACTAGCATGTGGGCTGAGATTTAATGGACATAAAGTGCTTGTAATAAACAAAGCTCCCCACCAGCTACTCTGGTGCCTTCTTCCCTGTAAGCACATGAATTTTTGAGAGTGCTCATTTTCCACATTCATGTAGCCAAAAGAGCTACTCGAGTTCTAATCAGAAGCACACTGTCCAGAAGACGCTCCTGTAACTTCACACAGGAGAGCCAGCCTGTAACATCATAGAACTCTGCCCATAACTCTGGTTCCTTAGAGGTTCAGAGCTGTTTCACAAACCTGCCTGCAAAGATGTGATGCTGAGTGGTGACCGTTACCAAGGATCTGCATTTCTCACCAAACTTTACCTCCCAGACCTTCTTGAACATGACACCGATTGTGAGAACCCAGTGGACAAGGACAGAGACCATGGGTGTTGTTTTCAAACCATTTATTATTTATTGTGTGCGTGTAGGTCAGACAACAACTTGTGGGATTCCACTCTCCCCTTCCACCATGTGGGTCCTGGGACGCAAACTCAAGACACCAGACTTGGTGGCAAGGGCCTTTAGCCATTGAGCTATCTCCTCGGCCTGACCCAGGTCGTTGTGTTTTATCTCAAGCATGCTTGTTTTGTTCTGTCCAGTCCAAGACCAGAGCAGTATATGGTTGAAACTGAGATGCTCTAGGCTTGTCAGGGAATTCGTGGATATGGCCTGAGCATCTGGTAAGGGTGAAGACTGCCTTGAGCATGCAAGACTGAGTCAGGTCTCAGAAGCTGGGTCCGTGTTCTTAACCTTGAATTACTGGAATGAATATGTTCCACCTGTTTCAAACACTGAAACAACACAATTTAAAAAATCACATAATTGAATAAAGGGGAAAATGAATATAATTTGCTTTTTGATGCTTAGGAAGAGACAAATAACCCCTATTAGGGAATTGGATATATAAAACTCACATTTCAAAAGTGGTCAGATAGTGTACACAGATTCACACAGCAACGTTTCCTCACATTGAAGAAGAATTTCCCAATTTATTTTGAATGCGTATGTGGGGGGGTATGTCCATGTGTGTACGTATGTGTTTCCCCGTGTGTAGGTGCTTATGTGTACGTAGAGGCCCAAGGTTGTCATCAGGTGTCTTCCTCGGTCACTCCCCTCCATATTCATTAAGGCAGGAGCTTTCATGTGGCCCCGGAGCGCACCAATGCAGCTAGTCCCAGCAGCCAGCAGATTCTGAGGATCCACCTGTAGAGCCCTGGGATTACAGACAGGCTGCCGCACCCCAAGCATTTTCCTGGGTTCTGGGGATTGGCATTACAGTCCCTTCACATTTACATGGCAAGAACTCTTTCCATGGAGCCATTTCCCCAGCCCCTCCCTTTCATCTCTAAATGACAGCTCTGCTAATGTTTTCATATTTGTTTCCAAACAATTAATCCTTTGATAGAGAAGACTGAAGAGCATACCCAGTCATGAAGATAAGCAATTTTCAATGCCATAAGACTTCATTTTAAAAAATTAAATCCTCCTGCTTTTTTCAGGATTAAAGGTCATCCTCACGTTCCTTTCTCATTAGTGTCTGCAGCAGTGGCCTTCTGCTGCAGCAAGTGGCCAAAACCCTGTTCACAAGGATAGCAGGTTGTGTCATTTCTCTCCCAGAGGTTCGTGGTCAAAGCATTTTGGGCTTCTGCAGGATTCGGTCCTCAGTGTGAAGCCTGCATGGATACAGAGAGTGTTAGATTGGAGAGAGCCCAACCCAGAGGTGGCCTGGTCACTTGAATGAATGACAGATTGTGGTTCCTAATAAAACCACGTAATTCCTCATCAGCCCCTAATGGGGTCAAGACGCCCTACAGAAGCCAGTAAGGAAATGAGAGGGTCTTCACACTGTGAACACCAAGTAGCACATCTGTATAATTCAGACACAAATCATTTTGCAAATTTCCCAAGAATAAGCTCATCCTGCCTTTTTTCTAAGGGAGAACAAGCTAAGAAATTAATATCATTCTGGAAAAAAAAGTACTCCCTCAAATGCTTTTCTAGTGCCTGTCTTGGTTTTCATTATTTCCAGGAGCTTGACAGCAGAAACTGTAGTCTCTCCCTTCCATTCCGTTGATGATAGGGAAAGGCGGGGGGAACCCTCTGGGACTCTGGGTTTATCCCTGTCTGGACACAACTCTCCTCTTACCAGCACCATCCAGCACCAGCAAGCTGGATGGAGAAATCTAGATGGATGACCTTGAATTTGTTGGAAAATAAGGAATATCAAGAATATTTTGAAAAAAAAGAAACAGGAATTTTCAGCCATCTTGTGAGGGATGAGTTGTGCTGGTGATACTGTTGAGCTAGCAGCCCACTACATATTTCCTGTTGGGGATCCCCAACCACCCCAAAGTCAAACGTCTGAAACCAAGCCCTTTGTCTGTTTTACCAGAGTCTCTTGTGTACCTTTTCATACTTAGTGATTTGTTTGTTTGGTTGTGTCAATATAACAAAATACCCAAGGCAATTTAAATTTATAAAGAAAAGATGCTGATTTAACTCACTGTTGGATACTAAGACTCTAAAAAGCATTGCCCTGGCTCTGGTGAGGGCGGACGCTGGAAGTCCAAGAATATATGAGACAAAGAAATCGCCTTTCACAACAGGGAGCCAATAAGAGACTGGGACCCTACATTCCCAGCCAAGGAGAGCCCACCAGGCTGCATCTCTTAACAACTCCACCACCTCCCATCACCACACTGAACACCTAGCCTGCAACAACACGCAAGGCTTTGTAGGACACAGTTAAACCACATTCAACCATAGCACAATGCACTACCCACCCTATTTCCAGAACTTATGCCTGAGAGGGGCTTACAGCAGAGCCACCCTTCTCTTCCTCCAGCCTCCTTCATGTCTCAACTCCATTCCTCTCCCGCATCCCCTAGCTGCCCTCTGAGCTCAGGCCATCATCCTTTCTCTTTCCTCTGCACGTCCTCCTGCCTGGCCTCTCAGCTTCAGAACTGCACACACCCCCATCCCAGTCTCCTGGCTGAGCTGCTCACCTGGTGTGTGTGTCAGGATGGCGAGCTCCTCAGGCCTGAACACAGCCAGGAAGAGCCCTGATCATCTCAGCCTGCTGCACAAACAGCCCTTGCCTGTGTGTGTCTTGAAATGGGAAAGGCAGGAGGTCCGGGGATGGATAATGATCAGTGTCTGTTCCAAGACAGTGGACACGGAGGGCCAGGCTGAGCCCAGCTCAGCCTACAGACTGTGGCTTTCAAGCCGCCTCCGGGAGACTTGCCTTCAGCACACGGATACCTCCAAGGGGGTGGCAGGATGGACTAATGACTCCATCTAGAGTTATGGAGTTGGAGATAGAAATGAATCCAGTGGAGTAACCAGGAAGGAAGGTGTTAGGAAGCCAGGTTTTAATGTCTGGCGGGATGCCATTGAGAGACACCAGGGAAAAGGGTATCTTGGGTGAAGACTGGCCTTTGTGACCTGAATTTGCAGGCTGTGGCATTTGAAATTCAAGGTGGACATCCGTGTGCAGATGTCTAGCAAAGTTTCTAGAGTCCATGTCTGGGACTCGGGAGAGAACGGCCTGGGAAGATGATATAGCAACTAGACCTCCCAAGGGAGGCTAAGAACGGGCCCTGGGAAAGCTCGGTGTTGTGGGGTGAGGAAGGAAGGGATCCAGGATAGGAGAGTGAAGGGTGGTGTGCTACTCAGAGCTGCGGAGGCAGCTGGGAGACCACAGTGCCAAGGCTGAGGACAGTACAGAGAACGAGAATAGCATCAATGCTGCCATCATTCCATCATCCGAGGACCAGGAAGACACCACTGATCGTGGCCACTAAAGCCAGGCGTGACCTTCCGTGCAACGATTTCAGGACTTGAAAGCTGCATGTCAGTGGGTTCAGGTTTAACACAAAGTAGATGCCAAGGTAGAGAATTCTCCTGTAGAGAACTGAGAGGGGGAGTCGGAGAAGACTATAGGACCCAGCATGCAGGGCTGAGGCCTGAAGGGAGGAAGAGTGCTTTTCTGAGAAAGCTGTAGTCAGGTCGGGACATCACAGAGACGGTACTGGGCAGAAAAGGTTGCCAGGGTAACCCTGCCTTGTTGTACCAGGAGACCCCACACAGAGGAAAGGAAGCCTTCACACGTGGGGGTTCGGGGGAGGCTGGCCATCAACCAGCCTTTCTCCCCAAAGCAGATACTCTTGAAGGACACCAGAGGGTAAATGCTATAGCACCATAAATGCCAAAGGAAATAGTTCACTGATGAACTAAGCTGTTCTGGTCTCTACCGCAGTACAGCCAACACAGGACACAGAGGAGTTGTTCAGCAGGTAGACAAGGCTTGGTTGAGGAAACTGGGTGTCTTCACCTCAGTCCTCCAAAGTCACATGACTCCATAGATTGCCAAGAGTATAGAGTGAGAGATCCCTTTCCTTAGTGTCCCTGGCTCTGTCCTCTAGCCCTGGGCACCCCACACTTCCAATCACATGGTTCGGTCCCACAGTTTGTACCCAGCAGACACGTCCCCTCTAACCTATGTTGTCCATCTGGTGAGGGTGTCTGGATCTTGATAGTTCCAGTTCTTTGGGTAGCACGTGACATTGTAAAATCAGAGTTAGTATTCTGTGGAGACGCTGGCTCTTCAGGCCCATAGGGGACAGGTGTAAGGACCATTCCACCTGCCCTTGCGGGGAGTGCCAATAACTGTGTTAAGAAATGCACCCCCACAGTCAGGGTTCTTTCTGTAGCCCCAAGTACCTACTGTGGGTTCCCAAGGGCGCTCTGCCCTGCTAAGTGAGGAAGCTGACTGAATGTCTGTGTTTGTTCCCAGGCGACCTCATACATCTGCCACCATACCTTCGAATGGACTTCTTGTTAAACCGGGGGGCACCGGGCACCAGCAGGGACCTGAGTTTAGGACAAGCGTGCTTGGAACCCCAGAAAAGTCGGACCCTGAAGCGCCCCACGGTCCTTGAGCCCACCCCCATGGAGGCCTCCTCCTCAACCTCTTCCACCAGAGAAGGACAACAGTTGTGGCAGCAAGGGGCCGTGGCCACATTACCTCAGCGAGAGGGGGCAGAGCTGGGACAGGCGGCTAAAATGAGCAGCTCCCAAGAATCACTGCTCGACTCTCGGGGCCATTTGAAAGGAAACAATCCCTACGCAAAGTCTTACACCCTGGTATAACAAACAGCATGGCTGGACAGCGGTTGTAAATACAATTTAAACAATCCAATCAAAGCTACCTTTTTTTTACGGAATTCCAATATTTATAATTAAAGAAAATTGCCAAAATATATTAAAAAAAAAAAAGAAAATACTGAAATCACAGACAGTGCAAAGACTCTCCTGCTTTTTTTCCGTCTGAGTGTGAGCTCCATCTGCCTGGGCATCTGATTTTTGGGGAAAGAGTCCAGTTTTATGATCTTCACGGGCTAGCGCATTTTTACTGATTTTCTACAAGGTGCATGGGGGACTCGTTAACCTTCTTCTGACTGAAGTTCTAGCACACAAGAGTCAAGAGAGGAAATGGGGGGAACATTAGCCTATTTGTGAATTTAAGAAAAACATTGATTTGGGGGCAGGGGACGGCTTGGGTCACCTTTACACACCTTTCTTTCCCACTAGGAACCAGGCCCTCAATTTGATCTTCTGTTGTTAATTAGGGTGAGTGACGTCAGTGAGGGGTGGGGGGATCCATTCGGTTTTCTTTTTGTTTATTTTTTAATTTGATGAGACACTTTGCATTTTGTCTAAGAGAAATAAAAGAGAAAGTCTGCCTTCATTTCCCTGTCTGCTGTGTCCCACCGATTACTTGGGTCTTTTTCCTGCTGATATTGGTGTTGCTAACAAAATGTTTGGACCCAGGGCCCAATCTAATAAACCAGACACTAAGCTCTAAACAACTCAGATTTCTCTGGGAAGAGAAAAGAAGGAACTGCACAAAAGGCAATCTGGTCCATCCAGTATTCTAAGCCCCTCACTAAAGAGGCTCAGCAGACCATGGCCCAACTGTTGTTTGTCAATAAAGTTGTATTGGAAGAAGACCAAAGGCCATATACCTCATTTGTACATTACCTGTGGTTGCTTTCGTGCCGTGATGGCGAGTTAGGTGCTTACAAGAGAAGCGGGATGACTTACAAAGCCTAGAGTATTCTCTGGCTCTTTACGAGAGATGTTTGCTGGCCTCTAATGTTCCACATTTAGCAGTTTATGTGATAAAGAAAATGACCGTGTGTTCCACTCTCCATCATCTGTCCTATCTTTTCTGTGACCAGAATTTCACAGTAGATCATCTTCAAACAGATTGCCTCTAAGCTACTCCACTACACCAAGAGGAAAAATAGTTTACAGGTAAGGGTGTCCCTCTAAAATATAAGGCTTTGTCTCCTCTCCATCTGTGTGCCTTGTCATGGAGCTCACTCAGACAGTCTGCTTGCAGACAGGAGATACCGCATCCTTCATCCCTTGCCTCTCACACAGCGCACCTCAGAAAGAACCTGCCATCTGCCATCCTCTAGGCACCGAGCCAGGCATCTTCTCTAATAGGTAGGAAAGAAGGCCCAGGCCTCTATGCGTGCCGGCCCAATCCCTCAGTAACACTCTGCACAAGTACCTCTCCTCAGACCTCTGCAAGCTCTCACGAAGTCCACCAGCACAAATGCGCTCAGTACCATCTCGAACGTGCTCAGAAGTCTTCTTTGCTATCCTCCCTGCTTCCTTCCTCCCAGATTCATTTCCATCCTTTCCTCCTTCCGTTTATTTTCTAGGCAGACCCTGTGCTTCCTGATCTTCAGTCCCAGAGCACGGGCAGGCCAGATCAGGACCCCATTCCAACCACCTGCACTCTGCAGCTTTAGAGACGCCGTGAACATGAGGTGTGCATGAGATGTGCAATGCACGATCTATATTGCCAGTTTCTTCTTTGACCCGTCACTGTGTGCTTTTACATGCAAAACAAAAGGCTTCCTTCTGAGGAAAGACTCTTGCTTTCATCAGTCTAAAATGTCTGTATTTCCCACACTTAGAAATTTCTTCTACGCTGTACAAAAATAAAAGATTAGGCATCATATCTGTCTCTGGAATCAACTGTTTTCAAGATTCTTGCCTTGAAATGAATTCCACATGCAAGCACTGTATCCAAAGTCTCTCTACTGCCTCCGATATGGGCCTAGCACTACTGTCTCCAAAGGGTGCAGAGCTGTGAATTAAAGCCTTACTAGATGTTATGAGAAAATTCATAGTGATTTTTTTCCCTCTGCATCTATCTCTGATTTGTATTGGGGAGGTCATCAGATCAACCATGTCCCCAGACAGATTCACTCTCTTAAAATGGTCACCTCAGATCAATTCTTTAGGCTCTGGCTAACAGCTGTTAGGTGAATGTGGAAAAACTAGCTGGTCAATGGGCCGGGTTTCCTTTAATCCATCAAACAGCCCCTACATAAGTGAGCAAGGACATCTCTCAATGTGTAGAGTGTTGTGTGAACCTCACGACACTGTCTACTGGCTCCATCTCTGGGATCCAGTACCTCTGGTCTGGTTTACATGTCTACCTGACTCTTTTCTTCTACCCACATCCACCATGGCTGAGGAAAAGGACAGAAAAACTGAACCCTGAACCAGCATGAAGTTATCTATGAGCTAGGTCAGTAAGCCCTGATGCCATGATCTCTGCACCCCCGTGCCATGGACTCCTGGCACTGTCCTAAGACCCAGGAAACGCACCATTGCTTAATTGCTCTTAAAATAAGCAGACAGTTTCTCTATTAAGGCCTTTCTGACCTGGTCCCATTTTAAGAAAAGAACAGAGACATGCCAAGGAGATGCAATAAATCCATTTCCATCAATGGCGCATAGCATTCTGGGATTGGGAAGCCAGGAGCTTGTTTGTCAGACACCAAGTTCCCTAGAAAGATCTAAAGGAACCAAGGGGCAGATCCACATGGAAAGGCTCCTTTTAACTTTCTTAAGAACATGACATAGATGCTACCTCAGCTCTCAGACCACAGTTGACAGAGCCAGACCACAGCTTCTCTTCTCTGTCAGTCGTCCAAAATGACCATCAAACACAAGTGAGGTTTGACTGAAGGAAATATAGTTGCTACTAACTGGGCTTAAACCAAGGACTCCGGGATGGCATTTGTTCAGGTGCTAGAGGAAAAGGTTTAAGGCAACCAAGACCTATGGTGACCTAAAAGGTGCTTGACCCTGGTGAGCCAGGGTCATCTCAAGGCCAGACAGCAGCTACTGACAGTGCCCCACAGAGCTGAAGACAGGACTGGATTTCAGGTTAAAGAGGTCACCCAGGGCCAGACCACCCCTGGGGAGTGTGTGTTGGGAATGGGTCCTCTGCACTCCTCTTCTGAGCAGGGTCTTTGATGGCACTGTTTATCCAAGGATATTTGCAAAACAAATGACCTTGGAAGGTAGAGTCAGTGTGGCCGGGCTGAACAAGGCAGGTTTGCTTGCCAATCTGGATAATGAAATCCATGTTTCTTTCTGAGGCAAAGTGCTGGCAGGGTGGCCAGATTCCTCCTTTAAAGTTTGTTGCCCAGACATTAGGCATAGGAAGTATGTGGTCACACCCTCACCAGTCCCTGGGACCCAGACGGTCAGGGGCAGCCCCTCTCTCCAGCTTACTTTCCTCGTGAGACCCCACTAGGTACTCCATATCAGCACAGCAATTCCCACGCCCATCTGCTGGGGCTCTTCTGACTTACCATGTAATTTGCTCTATAACGTTACTGCTTTTTATACTGTTATTCTCAGCCATCCTTCCTAGGAACGTTGGCTCCATAGGAACGGAAGTCTGTCTCACTTGTTTCCAGAACGTGTAAACGGGCACCCCCGGCTCAGATATTTGCAGGTTCGACACAATATCTCTGCCTGCACACCATGACTCGGACTGCTTGGCATCAAACCAGGAGCCTTGGTGGGTACGTGGCACTTGAGCTGTCACTGGGCTATGGTTAACACTGTCCTTAGTCTGAGACCCACCAGTCTCCTGTGTCCTGCCAGCAGCCAGGATACCGTACAGGCCGCCTTCTTAACTTGCAGGCATGGAAGGAGTCTCACACTATACACAGCCTCAACAATACCAAACTGGCCATGAGCTCAGCTAGCTCCTTCCCCGGGCTCTGGAGGGACAAGTTGCAGCTCAGATTCATATTGAAATCCATAAAAGTTTTGTGTTCTTGGTGGGAATGTTGGTCAGTTTCTTTCTATTGTTTCTCTGCTGGTTCCTTTCTCTTCCGCATGGCTCACCTTCAGAAAGATAGAACACTGTAAAACTTGGAAAAAGTGACTTTGAGCACATGGCAGGGAGCATGTTTCATCTTTGAAAACAAAGCCCGAAAGCCCTCTGTGTCCTGGAGACTTCGAAGCAACTGCAAGAAGAAAGAGGTATTTATCATCTCTAGCACTGCCAGAGAGAACCGTGTTCTGTCTCAAGGAGACAGCCCTCCCGTGGAGAAAAATTCATCCAGGGCTTACGCTTATGTGTGTTAGGAGAAGTACTCAGAAGGGTCCCTGGGGACAGTAGGCCTGGCTCTGTCCTGGCATCACAAGGCAAGCAGAATCTCCAATGACGCTTTGCAAAGGTACAGTAGTCTACCTTCAGAGCTAATTCAGCGCTCTGTCCGCTCATCCTGAGGGTTCCACTGCTGGCCTCTGCAGAGGGGACTGTCCCTAGATACAAAGTGAAATGTCTTACAAAGCTCCTTTTCTCTGAGGGCACAAAGATGGTGCCACATCTAGATCCAGGATTCAACCCCGGGGCCATGGAAACCAGGACCTAGCCTGGAGAAGGCAGCTCTCCGGATAACACTCAGCCCAACACAAATCCGGTGTGCCTCTCCCATCACAGCCCTCCAGTGAGATGCCAGGTCTGAGTTCGCCTCAGTGTAGTTTGAGCCCAGCACTGCACTGGTCCTTCTGACTGGCCTTGTGGTTGGAGAGCATTCCTGTCCTGCCGAGGCTACATCTCTACGTAGAGGGTGGCATTTTTCCGGTTTGTGCGTCAAAAGCTGCCCCTCAGTGTCAATGAACTGTTATTTCCAGTAACTCTGTACACTGAAGCAAGAATCACACTGCTTCCAAAGAAGGTCTTCAGACACGGAAGAAGGCGACCCCAGTACCGTGGAATCAACCGTCCATCCCTGTCAGAGACTTTCCTCAAGGCTTTTGTCTGCCTGGCTTCCTCACATACCCTCTCTTCAGAACACAAAAACTGGGTCTGCTTAATGATGCAGGAATGCATCAAGACGGGGCTTACCAAGGCACGCGGGATCGCAGCAAAAAATACTGGGTGGAACTTTTGTACGCC